TTTCAGAATTTAGGAGAAACAAAGGCATATGACTATATGAAAGTAAGATGGGTCAACCAGTTAACCAGTCAAGCAAATTTGTTTTCAATAAATTTATGTTTTTCACTTATAAAAATTAAAATATTTTTTTACTTCTTTCTAATTCAAAATGCACTTTGAATGGTACTAATTTATATAATATTAATTATTATATAAAAAAAAATCCTTCGTATTGGACTCCTCTCTCTTTAATCATTTTCATTTAATCATATAATTTAAATTATAAAATATAAAACCATTTCCCAATAACCTAAGAAAAATTCTTTTTAAAAATTAGCTGGAACATGAATGTATTTGTTTTCGTGTTTTTTCCAGCTAACAAGATCGCCACTTTACCCCCATGAAGAACGATTCACCCAAACAGAGTCAAAAAGTGGTTCAACTTTGAGCTACAGAATTACAGTCAAAATTTCTTATTAAAGAAGAAGAAGAAGAAAAAGAAAAGACATGGCGCTGATTAGCGAGCTATAACTACTCATGGTTTTGAGGGAAAGGGTGTTGATAATAACAAACAGTCTAATAAAAATACCGGATCTATGGAAATTGGGTTTGGGATTGGGTCTCCATTTGTGCAACTGCAAAGTATATATAACGTAAGAAACAATAACATAAATAGTTGCTGAAATCTTGACTTACGGGATGAGAGGTAGAACAAGGACACCACCATAGAAAGCCCTATCAGCCGATCCGCTGCGGGGCGGACCAAAAGGATGGGTTTTCAGCGTCGAGGGGAAGAGATCGACCTGTGCTTATAGGGTGAAGATTCTTAAATACATATACTCGATATCATCGCTCCTAAATAAATAAAAACAATTAATTATTTAAATAATATGTAAAATTATACTAAAAAATAATATTAAAAATGTTACCTTTAAATTATTTTCTTCGAGAGAATTAAAAAGGGGAAAAGGCACTCATTTAAATGACCTTTAAGATTGGAGAAAAAGGGAAAAATCTAGGGTTTCCGCAAAAGCACGGAGAAAAAGGGAAAATTTATGGTCAAAGATCTTAAAAGCAGAAGCATTTCTCACACCATGAGAGATTTCCCAGGAAGCAAAAGGGTCGTTATCGATCTCCGAAGACTAAAAGAAACCCGAGAAGAAATTTCTTTTCAATAAATCTATGTTTTTCAATTAAAAAAAAATCATTTTACTTTTTTCCAATAACCTAGGAAAAAATTCTTTTTAAAAATTAGCTAGAAAATGAATGTCTTCTTCTTCTTCCTTTTTCTTATTTTCTTATTTATTTTGTATTTTTTTAATTTTTTTCTCCATCTAAAAAGGTCGCCAGGTTACCCTATGAAGACCAACTCACCCAAAACAGAGTAAAACAAAGGTTCAACTTTGAGCTGCAGTATTACAGGCGAAATTTCTTATTAAAGAAGGAGAAGGAAAAAAACATGGAGCTAATTAGCAAGCTAACTACTCATGGATTTGAGGGAAAGGGGTTGATAATAACAAACTGTCTCATGACAATACTAGATCTATGGAAATTGGGTTTGGAATTAGGCATCCATTTGTTCAATTGCAAAGTATATAAAAAGTAAGCAACAATATTAACATAAATAGTTTTTAAAATCTTGACTTACAGGATGCGAGTTAGAGCAAGGGAGGGCACCACCATAGAAAGCGCTACCTACCGATCTGCTGCAGGGCTGACCAGAAGGATGGGTTTTCAGCATCGAGGGGAAGAGACCAACCTGTGTTTTTTGGCCGAAGAATCTGAGGCCTTTTCCTTGCGATTTTCAGAATTTAGGGGAAAGTAAGGCATATTTTCCCCTTTTTTTTTTAACAAATTACAATCATAGGGAGAGGGGGGGAGGGGAACTCCAAAAAAATCCATCATTCAACTCAAAATAATGTTTTCACTGACAGTAAAAGTGACAAACCACTTAGCCTGGGCAAGGCATATGAATATACTAAAGTACATAAGATGGGCATTTTAAACGTGATTGGGATTTATTATTCCAAGTAAACATAAACTAACTACAGACTACATTACACTTGACCCTCGTGGTCTGACAACTCTAGGACCCATCCTAAGATGCATCACTTATAGCCATAGAGTTGGGATTCAAATTTTCGTCCCAAGTTATAAACTGTTAAAAAAAAAACTACAGCACT